CATTCCTGGTGAGCAGGTTGAAAGGAGTTCCACACTTTAACTGTGTGTTGTGAAAAAGTGCCTCTTTGTTTTCTGCTTGTACCTGATGACTTCATTTGACTTTTCAGCCAGTAACCAGATTTTCTTCCTGTGCATTTTCTCCATAACATTACTTATTTTACAGGCTTGTTGGTTTTTTCATTATGTTTTCCAGGCTAAGTTCCACTCTTTTTGGTCTTTGAACAGTAGCTGTTCCATACCTTTGACCCCTTTGCCACTTTATCTAGGCCCAAGTTTTCTGTGCCCTTTCTGAACTGGGGATAAGGTAGAGATAGCATAAGCTACACATGTGTATTTTATGCACAGATATAAGGTAGAGATAGCATAAGCTACACACGTGTATCAGAGATGCAGGGGTGCTGCTCATACAGTGACACAATAATGTTTTAGTTCCTTTTTCCTTTCATAATCCCAGTGTGCTGTTTGGTGGTTTTGACTGCTGCCAAGCACTGAACTGGCTTTTTCTAGGATTGTCACGATGCCAAGGTCTGTTCTGGGCAATAAAAGTGAACTCGGTCTCTCTGTGTGTATGTAACTTCTCTGTGGGCATCACTTGGATCCATCAGCAGTGCATTTCACCTTCCATTTTATTGCTCAGTGGCTTGGCTTGATACTGGCTCTTTTCAGCTGCCTTTTTAGGTTTTAACCTGTCATGTTTGATCTTGCAATGTGAGCAAACTCTGTCATTTGCTGTGGACTCCCCTTTTTAGGTTGCTTTTAGATATGCTGAGTAGCACAGGCCCTATCACAGATTTCATAAGCTTCACTAGTGATTTCCCTCCACGAGGAGAATTGTCCTCTGCCTGCTGCCTGTTAGCCATGAAGGCAATCCTGTTGTCACCACAGAGCCTCGTGCTGCTGCCAACACCAGCCGTGCCTCTGACCTGGTGGTGTAGCACAGTCCCAACATTTGATTTCATTGCTGGGATATCTGGTTTTGGTTGTGTACATGAATGTAAATAGCTCACTTCACAGCATGAATGGGCCCTTTCTTAGGGAGGAGGGGGGAATGCAAAAGGTTTTACTCATCCTTTGTGGCTGCTGACACTTTTCTTCCTCTGTTGTGCCTCTGTGAAGTGCCTTTTCAATAAAAAGTGGTCTCTCATCACCTTTGTTTATAAAACCAGTATTCAACAAGGACTTGTAGGGCTTCCAATCCAGCTCATGGAAAAACTAGGTCTTGTGTCCTCACTGTCAAAATTGTCTGGGTTCCTTTATCACTCATCTCCCTCACAACATCCCTGTGTCACAGGAGGCTGCTAAAAGGTCTTTGCAAATAAACCTGCCTGCATCCTGGGGCAGGGGGCATCGCTCTTTCCTGTTCTTTGCTCTTCCAGCCTTTCCAGAAGTTTGGAAGAAGATCAAGCTAACATTTCTCCTGCCTATTCTGAAGGTGTTACTTGTTTTTACTGACCTTTATGATTTGTAGTCCTGTCTGTCACCTGCTGTGAAAGCGTGGACCGTGTGGGTAGCTTTGTATGCTCAGAAAAAGCAGCTGGAGTCCAAAGGCAGCCTGGTGCAGGAGAGGTGCCAGCCCCCTGGGCAGTCTGAGCTTCCTTCCTTCTCCCTGCAGGTGGGAGTACATGCACACCCCTCCAGAGAGCTCGAAAGAAGCCGAAATCCTGGAGGTTCTGCGCAATCCCAAGGACTGGGTGCACTGAGAGGGACGGTGAAGAAGATGGGTTGCTTACACTGAGCCATGATGGAGGAACACAAACGCCTGCACAGCAGCTTGTTCCAACCGCTGCTGCACGGCGTTTCAGCACAGACGTTTATTCTCTCCCCTGGTGCCTTAATAATGCTGTAGACTTGCTAGAATGTGAACTTGCAAATGTGTGAACTCGTTATTTATGGTTGATGAGCTGATGTTGTCACCCCCTGGTGATGTTGCCTCGTGAAGGGCTGGCAGTACCCTCACAGGACCACCGTGCATGCTTGTGAACTTCCCTCCACTCACCTGTTCGACTGCAAAATGGCAAACTACTGTGTTCTCCTGGTGGGATGAAAGCATTGACTGTGCCTGAATTGCACTGCTTACCCTTAGAAAATGTTCAGGTGTTTTAGAAATATTTTTCTAAAGAATAAAGGGAATATTTGGTATGATTTTAAATCTGAAACTTGCAGGAGGCTGTGAAAAAGGGTGGTATTTAATCATGTATTTGGATGGTATCCACATTGGCTTTGGGGGTGGAGGAAGTGTTCTGAGATGTGCTGCAGTAGCATAATGGGGAGATTCTGGGTCGGGGTTCCAGTCTCCCCTGACCAGCATGGAAGGCTGGCTGGCCATCTGAAAATTCAGGAGAAAGGCAGCTGTGGACCAGGCAGGATAGTGACCTGCCTCGGGCCAGCTCCTTTGTCTGGGAGGCTGGGGACAGATCAGGAAGCTGTTGTGTGTCACACGGAGGGGCTCCAACTAGCACTTGGGGCTGCTCCCAGCGCCGGGCTGACTGTTCAGTTCTGCCCGGGGACAAAATTCGCTGGGGACCGCGTGTGGAAAAAAGAGGAGAAGGTCCCATCCGGCTGCCCGGTGGGAGGATCAGCGCTGTTTCCCCCTCGGGGAATCGAACCGGTGTTTTCGGGGTGACGGGCAGGGATACTCACCGCTAGCCT